GAATCACTTGAGCCCAGGAGTTGGAGGTTGCTATGAGCTGTGGTGCCACGGTACTCTATCCAGGGTGACAGCTTGAGACTTTTGTCTTGAATAATTAATTAATTAAACAGATAATAGTTGCATACCAAGGGAGTGTCAAGAATTGACCCTACAGAAGTGGCTTTTACATATCTGTCTCAGTGAAAACAAATCATTGGTGGGGGGGGGGGGTGGGGGGATGGGAGTCACTTTTTGACCCACCTCCCCACCCCTGCCCCAGGGGTATGCAACTGTTTAAGATGCTTATTGATTAAATATGACATGTAGACCTTTTCTGGGTCCTGATTTGGACAAACATGTAAAAAGACATGACATCTTTGGGAAAGTTTGAAAACTAACAAGATAATCCATGATATTAAGGATTTTTTCTTACTTTCTTGGTGATACAATAATAGTATTAAGTTTTTATATTTTAGAGAAACATGCTGAAGTATCTGCGAATGAAATGATAGTGTTTGGGATTTGCTTTAAAATATCTGCAAAGCGGCATAGACTTAAAATGAACTTGGCCCTTGTTTGGTAAAATTGTGGAGAGGGAAGATGGCTATTACATGATTCTTTTGTACATGTTGGAAAATTTTTATAATAAACAGTTAAAAATACAGCAACATCACACAGATCTTGTGCAGCTGAGTCCTAACTGTAAGTGGCTTTGAAGTTGATAGGTGTAATAACTGTCAGATTTTAATTTGAGTGATTCTCAGAAAAATAAATTCTATTGTCCTATGAAAATAGCTAAAGGGTTTTGTCCTCAGACCAAGAATATATTATATGGACATGAAGTTCTGAACCTCTCATTAAGACACTTCTCTCTTACTAAAATTTCACCTGCTTTATGTCAAGGATCCTCTCATGCCTTATGGAACATTTGTATACAGAGAAGATGGTGGAAGATTGTGAACATCGTCTCTTAGAGCTACAATATTTCATCTCCCGAGATTGGAAGTAAGTATTTTGCAGGCAAAGTAAGTGCACTGCCTTAGCTTGTTCTCCTGTGTAGTCAGTATTACCTATATATTTAGAAATAAGCAGTAGGACATTAACTTTTGTTGTGTTTAATGACAGCTAACATACTCCAGTTGCCTAAAAAACTGTTGCTTTCAGAACAGTAATTAAAAGCATATCAACCCACTACAAGTCTGTACTGAGTATCCCTGTTCACCAGTACTTTGGAAATCAAGGTCAAAATGTTTCTGATAAGATCTATCTGGAAAGAACTACGGCATCTGTAGGGGCAGCAGAAGCATCTTCAGATCTGTCTCTGAAACGATAGTAATGCATTTGTATTTGTATTGATTTGCACAGGGTGTGGGAATTGCTTTTATTTCTTTAACCATTCAGAGTTATTGAATTTATTCTATCTTAAGAGGCTTTTGTCAAGAAGTAACAACTTGATTCTCTAATTCCTTTCTCATCTTTTTAATAAAAATGGGTGGGGAACGTAATAGGAGGAGAGTGTATATTATAGTCAGAGGCACTGTCGCTTATGGCCCCAGTTCTCTCCTCTCCCTGTTGTACCCAGAATTTCCCTGAGTCCCCGAGCCCACGAAGGGACGAACCGAGACATACTCTGATGTAAAAGCAAGAGGCGAGCTTTATTTAGCAAGCTCGAGCCCAGACCTTCTCTTGGCAAACATACAAAGGAAGGCCCCGAGCCTAGGGGGTTGGAAAGTTTTATAGAGTACAGAAAGCAAGAAGGGTGAAGAAGGGTGGGGTACATTTTTGATTGGCGGTCGGGGTATGGGGAAGTATAGGTGATTGATGGTCAGGGTTTGGGGAAGTACGGGGAGGCTCTGGATTGGTACAGGTATGAGGGGTGGGGGATTTCCTAACTGGGGTCTTAGGGTGGTATGAAGCAAGAAGGGTGGGGAGCACTTCTGATTGGCTGACTGGGGTGCTTGATTTCGGGGAAAGGCCAGGATTTTGGGGAAGCTGAAATTTATTATTTAAGATGGGACAGAACTTAGGCAGTAAACAACAAAATGGCGCTGGTCTGGCCCTCTCATCCCCATGGCTTGTCTTCCCTTCTCACCTTCCAAACAGCCAAAACTGCATCTCCATGTCTTCTAGCTTCCCAAGTTCATCTGCTTTCTGAGTCAGTTGTTAAGCCACTGTCATGTGGTTACTAACCTTTTCTGGTGATTAATACATGTTTGGCCCACATACTTTACCTGAAGGTACAATGTGTTTTTATTTCTGTTTCTTCAAATTAGTTCCGGACAGGACTGCAGAAAGCTGGGTGATAATTTCCCTGTGCTTCCTCAGGCCATCTAAACTGAAATAAAGTGTTTAATGAGTGTACTGCCCTAATCAAAGTCATGTTTTCTCCTCTTTAATTTCTTCCCCCCCTTAATCAAAAAAGTGCTGCATAGTCTTAATGGCCACTCTGCAATATTAGCCTGTCTCCTATACTAAAGAGCCCTTCACCAGATCTGGCAAGATACGATGGACAGAATTAAGGATCCCCTGGTCTGATCTAGAGAAGAAGCAGGCTCATTGCTTAATTTGCCATGGCCAGATTAAAAGTTAAATGTCGGCAGCACCAGTAGCTCAGTGGGTAGGGTGCCGGCCACATACACTGAGATTGGCAGATTTGAACACAGCCCAGGCCAGCTAAAAAACAACAGTGGCAACAACAACAGCAAAGCCAGGTGTTGTGGTAGGCACCTGTAGTCACAGCTACTTGGGAAGCTGAGGCAAGAGAATAGCTTAAGCCTAAGAGTTTGAAGTTGCTGTGAGCTGTGATACCACAGCACTCTACTGAGGGCAACATAGTAAGACTCTGTCTCAAATAAATAAATAAAATAAAAATAAAAGCAGACGGCGCCTGTGGCTCAGTGAGATGGCGCCAGCCCCATATACCAAGGGTGGCAGGTTCAAACCTGGCGCCAGCCAAACTGCAACAAAAAATAGCTGGGCATTGTGATAGGCACCTGTAGTCCCAGCTACTCGGGAGGCTGAGGCAGGAGAATTGCCTAAGCCCAAGAGTTGGAGGTTGCTGTGAGCTGTGTGACGCCACAGCATTCTACCGAGGGTAATAAAGTGAGACTCTGTCTCTACAAAAATAATAATGATGATGATGATGATGATGATAAAAAAAGTTAAATGTCAAGTTTTGTTCATTGATAAGCCTATTCGGGGAAACCAAAAGAACAACTGCTTTACCTTGCATGGGAAAAAAAGAAAAAGTTGAGTAGGAGATTCTGTTTATCTTGCCATTCCTAATATTACTGAATCTTTTTCTTTTTTAGAGACAGAGTCTTACTCCCCCTTGGTAGAGTACTGTAGCATCACAGCTCACGGCACCTCCAGCTCTTGGGCTTAGCCCAATTCTCTTGCCTCAGCCTCCCGAGTAGCTGGGACTACAGGCACCCGCCACATCGCCCGGCTATTTTTTTGTTGCAGTTTGGCCAGGGCCAGGTTCAACCCCGCCACCCTCAGTATATGGGTCTGGTACCCTACTCACTGAGCCATAGGCGCTGTCCTATATTACTGAATTTTATGTATCAGTAACGTTTGAACTTCACTCATACTTAGTGTTTTGTTTTGTTTTGTTTTTTAATTGTTTGTTTGTTTTTTGGCCAGGGCTGGGTTTGAACCCACCGCCTCCAGTATATGGAGCTGGTGCCCTACTCCTTTGAGCCACAGACGCTACCCATACTTTGTGTTTTTTATTAAATGCTTTTTTCTAAGTATTCTGTTAAAGTGAGGCAGAAGCCTGAGTTCACCAGCCAGCAAGATAAACCAAAAGGGGCAGGATGCTGATCCTCCCCTGGCTTCCTCATTGACCAGGGACTTGGCAGTCCTTAGCCGTGGGGGTTCTTGGAGACCATCACTTGTCCTGTTCCTTCCTAGCTTCCCTGCAGTAATGACAAACTGCTTTTGTTGGAGAAAAAAAATATTTAGGAGAATTAAGTAAAAAGCTGTAAATTGCCTCCTGATAGCTACAACCCTAGTTTTTTGTGTTCAGCCAAGGCCTGTCAGGGCTGAGTTTGTTATTGTAATGTTATTATAGGTACCTTACATAACCATGACAACATCTTTGAGGTAAAACGTAAGTCTTTATGAAAATGAACAAATTTCTACAGATTGACCACTGTGTATTCATTAAGAGCAAAGTTCAGGAATATACTTTTGCGTATCGTCAGTCTCCCTACTCTGGGGGTGATTATTAGTGAGTATACAAAGCAAAGCACCTAGTAAAAACCCTTAGCGTGTTCAGAAGGAAATATAGAGCGGTTACCTTTTAACTCTTTTGTAGGCTGGACCCCGTCTTATACCGCAAGTGCCAGGGAGATGCCTCTCGTCTTTGCCACACCCATGGTTGGAATGAGACCAGTGAACTTATGCCTCCCGGAGCTGTGTTCTCTTGTTTATACAGACACGCCTACCGCACTGAGGAACAGGGAAGGAGGGTATGCTGTCAATATTGACTTCCTTTCTTCTTGTCCTTTGTTTTTCCTTTTACTGTTATTTGCATTTATTTTATGTTGCATCTATTCCCGTGCCGTAAGTTTTGTTTCTTCAGTTTCTTCTGGGATATCTTTTTCTTCTATGCTACGTCCTCTTCTGGTTTAGGAACGATTTGTTCCTTTTTAATAAGGATCATCTCGATGTGGCAGGGGGAGCTCATGTAGGGGTTAATGTGACCATGAGCTCTGGAAGTTCGTGACTCATCTTGGGTGCTTTGTTTTCATCCGGATGTGCTCAGTAATCAGAGAATCTACATTTAAACCCTTACGTTCAGTGTTCCTCTCCACATTTTTAAGCATGTGCAACAAAAATTCAGCAACCTTTTTGGCCTGGGCCATTTCGCATGAACATAAAGATTTGAACCTCTGGACTTGTATGACTTTGTGAGGTTTTCTGGATCAAGTAAATAGCAAACCATTTTCACAGATTACCTCAGGCCGCTTAGAGGAAGAGGAAGAGTGGTGGCTTCTGGGAGAGTTCATGAGACCTATCTTTTTTTTTTTTAAATAGTTTGTTATATATTTTGATTTCTGTCATCTCAGGCAAACTTTGGTTAGTGTATTTGATGGGGAGAGGTTACTGCACTACTAGAGCCTTCTTCATGCAGTGAGTATGCCTAAGAGTTGCTCTACCACCCTCTTTCCATATGATTTTATATTTTTAATGATATGAGTAGGGGTAAGATTTCCAGATTTTTTCTTAAAATTCTGCAAATCTTGGCCAGGCGCCGTGGGTCACCCCTGTAATCCCAGCATTTGGGAGGCCAAGGTGGGTGGATTGCCTGAGCTCACAGGTAAGACCAGCCTGAGCCAAAGCGAGACCTCATCTCTAAAAATAGCCAGACATTATGGTGGGTGCCTGTCATCTCAGCTACTTGGAAGGTTAAGGCAAGAGAATCGCTTAAGCCGAAGAGTTTGAGGTTGCTGTGAGCTTGTGAGCTGTGACGCCATAGCACTCTACTGAGGGCTACAAAGTGAGACTCTATCTCAAAAAAAAAAAAAAAATTCCGCAAATCTGAATCACAAATGGACAATTAAATCCTGTTTTCCTAACTTTAGCTTTAAAGGTCCATTAGAACCTTTTAGCCAGGATACAAATGGTTCTTAAGACTTCTGCCCTAGGCAGCGGAACACTTAATGCCTGTATTAATGAGACAGTGCACTAGTTAGAGCAGAAGGTACAGCACCTCAGGCACTTGGTATTTGTGTACCCAGCTGCTACCTTTTGTATGGATGTTTGTGTGTGGTTGGCACTCAGGAGTATTGGGTCTTCTGGTGCCACATTGCCATGCTCCAGGATGGCCTTTTTATACCTTCTAAGATTCTCTATTGCATGTCAGTCTCACTTGTTATAGAAAATTGAGACTCGGCACCTGTGGCTCAAGTGGCTAAGGCACCAGCCACGTACACCCAAGGTGGCGGGTTCAAATCCAGCCCAGGCC